GCCCCCCCCGCCATGCCGATCACCCTCCCTACCTACATCCGATTCACCCATTACTGGAACCGATCCCCTATATGGCTCTCTGCAGCAGCTAAAAACCAGCAGGAGGGAGAGGAGTTCAAGCCAGCTTCCAGCTGCTGCAGGGAGAGCCATACAGGGGATTGGTTCCAGTGATAGCCCCACTGTCTCACCCATGAACCTCCCTGCCCACATCTGATTCACCCAGCTGCCTGGGCCCCCCTGCCAGCCTGGGCCCCATACAGGAAGACTGGTGGTACCCTCTTATCCACGGCCCTGGCGTCCGCCTTTTCTGCTTTACCCCTCAGCCCGGCCCTGCCACGGGACTATGAGGACCAGAAGTAAAACGTAGAATTCGAATACCCGTGCCGACTCATTAAACTCAATCACTAAAATCTCATATAAGATTTAATATGTTAATGTCGTTTCAAAAGTCATCAGCACTTCCTGTTATAGGGTGACAACGCTCTGTCCCTGTTTCCAAACTGTGCTCCTGCGTTGTCACCCTGCCACAAGGGCTTCCGATGGAGACTATAAGTGGATGTTTGGACATAATGCAGGAATGGTCCATATCAGAAAAGCCACTCTGAGAAATGCCGTGCCACCGTCACTGCAGTACACTGCAAGAAGTCACTGCAAAGGGGCCGCAAAAGATCAGCAGCACTGAGATGAAACAAAAGATGAGACTTTCCCATAAATTGGCCCTAATGGCAGTCCCTGCATATTTAGAGGCGTGGTCTGGCTGAGACTTTCCCATTAAATGTGCCTAACGGGCAGTCCTTGCATATTTAGAGGCGTGGTCTGGCTGAGACTTTCCTTCAAACTGGGCCTAATGGGCAGTCCCTGCATATTTAGAGGCGTCGTCTGGCTGAGAATTTCCCATAAATTGGCCCTAATGGGCAGTCCTTGCATATTTAGAGGCGTGGTCTGGCTAAGATGTTCCCATAAATTGGCCCTAATGGGCAGTCCCTGCATATTTAGAGGCGTGGTCTGGCTGAGTTTTTTTCCCATAAATTGGCCCTAATGGGCAGTCCCTGCATATTTAGAGGCGTGGTCTGGCTGAGTTTTTTCCCATAAATTGGCCCTAATGGGCAGTCCTTGCATATTTAGAGGCGTGGTCTGGCTGAGACTTTCCCATAAACTGGCCCTAATGGGCAGTCCCTGCATATTTTAGAGGCATGGTCTGGCTGAGACTTTCCCATAAACTGGCCCTAATGGGCAGTCCCTGCATATTTAGAGGCATGGTCTGGCTGAGAATTTCCCATAAATTGGCCCCAATGGGCAGTCCCTGCATATTTAGAGGCCTGGCCTGGCTGAAACTTTCCCATAAATTGGCCCCAATGGGCAGTCCTTGCATATTTAGAGGCGTGGTCCGACTGAGACTTTCCCATAAATTGGCCCTAATGGGCAGTCCCTGCATATTTAGAGGCGTGGTCCGGCTGAGACTTTCCCATAAATTGGCCCTAATGGGCAGTCCCTGCATATTTAGAGGCGTGGTCCGGCTGAGACTTTCCCATAAATTGGCCCTAATGGGCAGTCCCTGCATATTTAGAGGCGTGGTCCGACTGAGACTTTCCCATAAATTGGCCCTAATGGGCAGTCCCTGCATATTTAGAGGCGTGGTCTGGCTGAGACTTTCCCATAAATTGGCCCTAATGGGCAGTCCCTGCATATTTAGAGGTGTGGTCTGGCTGAGACTTTCCCATAAACTGGGCCTAATGTGCAGTCCCTGCATATTTAGAGGTGTGGTCTGGCTGAGACTTTCCCATAAACTGGGCCTAATGGGCAGTCCTTGCATATTTAGAGGTGTGGTCTGGCTGAGACTTTCCCATAAACTGGGCCTAATGGGCAGTCCCTGCATATTTAGAGGTGTGGTCTGGCTGAGTTTTTCCCATAAATTGGCCCTAATGGGCAGTCCTTGCATATTTAGAGGCGTGGTCTGGCTGAGACTTTCCCATAAATTGGCCCTAATGGGTAGTCCTTGCATATTTAGAGGCGTGGTCTGGCTGAGACTTTCCCATAAATTGGCCCTAATGGGCAGTCCCTGCATATTTAAAAGTGGGGTGTGGACAGAACCGCCCTGTGACGTTGGTGTGACTTGGGTTGGGCACTCCTATCCAGAAAGTGGGCGGGTGAAATGCAGAATGAGGGCGGGGTTATCAGTGTCCCAGGATCTGGACCATCATTTTCTTTGTTTCACTCCCATAGACTTGAATGGGTTCCGCACACATTTTGCACCCTTCAGTCAGATTGGTATTTGTGAGCTGAACGCCGGCAGATGCAGATTGCAGGATTTGGGGGATTTATCTCATTTTCATATTTTGTATCATATTTTTGTGGTCAGTTTTAGAGGAAAATAGGAAGAAAAAGAGGAAGTGAGCGACTCCGGGAAACGTCTTCAATGTTCTATTCTGGTGAGAGAGAGGAGAAAAAACACAAAATTTTCTCCACTGTATACAGAGATCTTACAATAAATGACAATGTAGAGATTCTGTATGAAGGGACTTCATATATGTGGGGTGCTGTGTGCTGATTCTCCATCTGTCCATGAGCAGACCAAGGGAACTCAGCACAGGGATGGTGGGAACCACTCATAATAGGCACAGCGGGTGTACAGAACCGGGAACTCAGCACAGGGATGGTGGGAACCTCTCATAATGGGCACAGCGGGTGTACAGACCCGGGAACTCAGCACAGGGATGGTGGGAACCCCTCATAATGAGCACAGCGGGTGTACAGACCCGGGAACACAGAACAGGGATGGTGGTAACCCCTCATAATGGGCACAGCGGGTGTACAGACCCGGGAAATCAGCACAGGGATGGTGGGAACCTCTCATAATGGGCACAGCGGGTGTACAGACGGGGGAACTCAGCACAGGGATGGTGGGAACCCTCATAATGAACACAGCGGGTGTACAGACCCGGGAAGTCAGCCCAGGGATGGTGGTAACCCCTCATAATGGGCACAGCGGGCTTACAGACCCGGGATGTCAGCACAGGGATGGTGGGAACCCCTCATAATGGGCACAAAAGGTGTACAGACCCGGGAACTGAGCACAGGGATGGTGGGAACCCCTCATAATGGGCACAGCAGGCATACAGAGCAAGACCTCAGCAGAGGGATGGTGGAAACCCCTCATAATGGACACGGCAGGTGTACAGACCCGGGAACTCAGCACAGGGATGGTGGGAACCCCTCATAATGAGCAGAGCAAGCGCACAGAGCCAGGAACTCAGCACAATATATTCAGTAAATGAAAGAAAGAGACATGAACCCGGACACATGATAGATGGTGGGAACCCCTCTGCATACAGAACAGACGGACAGTGAAGATATGACGCGCTCAGCACATTGCAGACACATTGGCAGGAAATGCGTCGCTTCCATCCCATTAGGCAGAGAATAGAGAACTTGTGTACAGATGGGATCATCCAATCCGATCGCCCGGCTCTATAGAGCACGTTGTTTGAATGATGACAGTGGAATCCATGACGCCTCCGCCGCCTCTGAATTTTTATAAAGATAAGAAAACCGCAAAATGGGTTTTTAAAAAGTGGAATTTGCAAAAAAAAAGCAGAAAACGCAAAGAAAAGCGACAAAGCGGAACAAATCCAGCGAGAGTGTGCAGAGGGCGACCGAGAGATTGGCAGTACAGGGACGCCCAACAGACGCGACCATAGGGGCGTGCCAATCCCGCGGAGTGTATATGTGACGTTCCTCCATTTCAGGGATGACGACAAAACAATAATAAACGTTACATATTAATATACAGAATTGTACAGATTGTGAATAAATAAATGTTACAAATGACCGATTGTGACGCGTCCGGCTCCATCATCCAATCATCTATAACAGATACAATGAAAGATGGAGCCTGATCTGCTCACACTTGGGTTCTGCCTTCCCGGGATCCTCCCGTAATCCCCAAATGTGAAATAAAATCTCTCTGTTTTCACTACATATTTTATTTTAAATATAGTGATGTCATCACTGGGTCTATGTTGTACTCAATGCAATGCAGGTAGAGCACGATTGGTGGGAGTGACCAGCAAAGGTGCTGTACATAGCTTCCTCCAAATCATGCTGGTTCATGGGAGGAGTTATGCAAATATCAAAATGCCTTGATAGGTGGGTGTAAGACAGGAGGTGTGGACGTTCGTTCCTTCCCTCCCTCTCCCTTCCATTCTCTGCTTCCTTCCCTCCCTCCATTCTCTGCTTCCTTTCCTCCCTCCCTCCCTCCATTCTCTGCTTCCTTCCCTCCCTCCATTCTCTGCTTCCTTCCATCCTCCCTCCCTCCATTCTCTGCTTCCTTCCATCCTTCTTCCCTCCATTCTCTGCTTCCTTCCCTCCCTCCATTCTCTGCTTCCATCTCTCTTCCTCCTTCCATTCTCTGCTTCCATCCTCCCTCCCTCCATTCTCTCCTTCCTTCCATCCTCCATCTCTCCATCTCCCCCCATTCTCTGCTTCCATCCTCCATTCCCTCCATTCTCTGCTTCCTTCCATCCTCCCTCCCTCCATTCTCTGCTTCCTTCCCTCTTCCTCCCTCCATTCTCTGCTTCCATCCTCCCTCCCTCCATTCTCTGCTTCCTTCCATCCTCCCTCCCCCCATTCTGCTCCTTCCTTCCATCCTTCCTCCCCCTCCATTCTCTGCTTCCTTCCATCCTTCTTCCCTCCATTCTCTGCTTCCATCCATCCTTCTTCCCTCCATTCTCTGCTTCCTTCTCATCCTCCCTCCCTCCATTCTCTGCTTCCTTCCATCCTCCCTCCCCCCATTCTCTGCTTCCTTCCATCCTCCCTCCCTCCATTCTCTGCTTCCATCCATCCTTCTTCCCTCCATTCTCTGCTTCCATCCATCCTCCCTCCATTCTCTGCTTCCATCCTCCCTCCCTCCATTCTCTGCTTCCTTCCATCTTTCTAACTTCCTAAAGCCCACATGTGATGTTGAGCCTCCATCATTGAAAGAACTGAGATCCAATAAATGAAAGGGGCGGGGCCAGGGACAGTCAGGCTGTGGAGGAAAGATCTAGATGATGCTGGATGCCCACAGTGTGCAGTGACATCAGAGGAAGCCGTTTCAGTCTAGGAGAGGAGCCGATACACCTGTGCAAGACTGGAGGGGAGGAGCCAGTACACCTGTGCAAGACTGAAGGGGAGGAGCCAGTACACCTGTGCAAGACTGAAGAGGAGGAGCCAGTACACCTGTGCAAGACTGAAGGGGAGGAGCCGGTACACCTGTGCAAGACTGAAGGGGAGGAGCCGGTACACCTGTGCAAGACTGAAGGGGAGGAGCCGGTACACACCTGTGCAAGACTGGAGGGGAGGAGCCGGTACACCTGTGCAAGACTGAAGGGGAGGAGTCGGTACACTTGTGCAAGATTGAAGGGGAGGAGCCGGTACAACTGTGCAAGACTGAAGGGGAGGAGCCGGTACGCCTGTCCAAGACTGGGGGGAGGATCCGGTACGCCTGTGCAAGACTGAAGGGGAGGAGCCCGTACACCTGTGCAAGACTGAAGGGGAGGAGCCCGTACACCTGTGCAAGACTGAAGGGGAGGAGCCGGTACACCTGTGCAAGACTGAAGGGGAGGAGCCCATACACCTGTCCAAGACTGGAGAGGAGGAGCCGGTACACCTGTGCAAGACTGAAGGGGAGGCTGGAGGGCAGACAGCCTGGCAGAGAGTCTAACCCCTCCTTACCAGTTTTTGGGTCAGGAGGAGGAAACTCTTCTCTAAATTTGAACAAAGTCATGCACAAATCTTTAAAGTTTATTACGTAGACAGGAAGTGGCTGCAAAGAGGCTGCAGGAGATCAGCAGAACAGGAAGAAACAAGAACTTTCATAGCAGGATCATCAGGGACTGAAAAATACAGAAAGTGCCACGAATGCGCTCACACCTGTATAAGATCTCAGTGATTGGGTCTATAACCACTTTAACCCTCGCCGTCCTGGGTTGATAGACGCAGCGGCAGCGCCCCCCCCCCCCTTGGCGGCTCTTATCTCGTCTGTCGTACTGCGTCAGTGTGAGGGTGCTCGAGGTGAACTCAGGTACTTGTGCCAGGCAGACGCCGTTTGCCAGAGACGATGACTATAAGCATTTCTTCTGTGAGTAACCTATTAGCTGGACTGCGGAGGAGCCGGCGCTGGTTCTGTGGCGGGTCGGCGAGGTTCCCGGGACCGCAGGCTGCCCTTTGTTAGGAGAGCGGATCATTCTCCGGAGATAAAAAAAAACAAATTCTCATTATTTTGGATGAAAGGAGATTTACATTGCGGAATCATGGAGGACCGGGTCTGTCCTACGAGGAGGGTCAGGATGGGCAGGACACCATGTTCCCCACCCCCCACACCCCACTGTGGACCCGACAAATCTTCCCGTTTCTGCTATGGATCTGTATAATCCGCAATTGTCAGCAATAATAACAAAGTGATGAAGAGGCTTCTGTATAGTGATGTTGGAATTTATACGCAATCAACAGACAAAAAAAGTAACAAAACTAAAAAAAAAACAAAAACCTTTGTATGAATGTTAGCTTACATAATATTGTTACCATTAACAAAAAGTACGAAGACGTCATTTCACCTGTAAAATGACACAAAAATGATGATCGTGGGATGCAGCATGGCAAAGTTACACTATACTGCCCCCACAGGGGTGGACTGACAACTCATGGGGCCCCTGGGCAATAGGGGATCATGGGGCCCCTGTGTCCTTGCCCAAATTCAAAAAAGCCTATGAAAGGTACCAAGGACATTTCTTGGGGCCCCTTACTGACCCCGGGCCCTCAGGCAGTGCCCGAGTTCCCCAATGGTGAGTCCGCCCCTGTGCCCCCAGTATTGATCGGCCGGCCTTTCCCCACACATGACCTTTAATGCCCCCCAGTCTTAGTCCATAGGGTTCAATATTGAGTTGGCCCCGCCCTTTCCCCACACATGACCTTCAATGGCCCCCAGTCTTAGTCCATAGGGTTCAATATTGAGTTGGCCCCGCCCTTTCCCCACACATGACCTTCAATGACCCCCCAGTCTTAGTCCGTAGGGTTCAATATTGAGTTGGCCCCGCCCTTTCCACGCACATGACTTTTAATGACCCCCCCAGTCTTCGTCCGTAGGGCTCAATATTGAGCTGGCCCCGCCCTTTCCCCACACATGACCTTCAATGACCCCCCAGTCTTAGTCCGTAGGGTTCAATATTGAGTTGGCCCCGCCCTTTCCACACACATGACCTTTAATGGCCCCCCCAGTCTTAGTCCGTAGGGTTCAATATTGAGTTGGCCCCGCCCTTTGCACCTATAACAGCTTCAACTCTTCTGGGAAGGCCGTCCACAAGGTTTAGGAGGGTGTCTATGGGAAGGTTGGACCATTCTTCCAGAAGCACATTTGTCAGGTCAGGCACTGATGTCGGGGGAGGAGGCCTGGCTCGCAGTCTCCGCTCTAATTCATCCCAAAGGTGTTCTATGGGGTTGAGGTCAGGACTCTGTGCAGGACAGTCAAGTTCCTCCACCCCAAACTGGCTCCTCCATGTCTTTATGGACCTTGCTTTGTGCACTGGTGGGCAGTCATGTTGGGGCAGGAAGGGGCCATCCCCAAACTCTTCCCACAAAGTCGGGGGCATGAAATTGTCCAAAATGTAACCTTAAGAGTTCCCTTCGCTGGAACTAGGGGGCCAAATCCAACCCCTGAAAAACAACCCCACACCATAATCCCCCTCCACCAAACTTTACACTTGGCACAATGCAGTCAGGCAAGTACCGTTCTCCTGGCCACTGCCAAAGCCAGACATGTCCATCGGATTGCCAGACAGAGAAGTGTGATTGGTCACTCCAGAGAACACGTCTCCACTGCTCTAAAGTCCAGTGGCAGCGTGCTTTACACCACGGCATCCGACGCTTTGCATTGCACTTGGTGATGGAAGGCTTGGATGCAGCTGCTCAGCCATGGAAACCCATTCCATGAAGCTCTCTACGCACTGTTGTTGGGCTCATCTGAAGGCCACACCAAGTTTGGAGGTCTTTAGCTATTGACTCTGCAGACAGTTGGCGACTTCTGCACACTGTGCGCTTCAGCATGCGCTGACCCCGCCCTGTCATGTGACGTGGCCTACCACTTGGTGGCTGAGTGGCTGTTGTTCGCAGTTGCTTCCACTTTGTTATAATCCCACTAACAGTTGAGCGTGGAATATTTAGTAGCCAGGAAATGTCACGGATGGACTTATTGCCCAGGTGGCCACCTATCACGGGACCACGCTTGGAGTCACTGAGCTCCTGAGAGCGACCCATTCTTTCACCAATGTCTGTAGAAGCCGTCTGCATGCCTAGGGGCTTGATTGTATACACCTGTGTCCATGGAGGGGATTGGAACACCTGAATCACATGATATGGAGGGGATTGGAACACCTGAATCACATGATTTGGAGGGGATTGGAACGCCTGAGTCACATGATATGGAGGGGATTGGAACACCTAAATCACATGATTTGGAGGGGATTGGAACACCTAAATCACATGATTTGGCAGGTGGGGCCAATACCTTGGGCAATATAGTATAACTACAAATAAAATATTTTTTTTTTCCCTTTTGCATTTTATTTTAAATGTTTCTATAACATAAAAAAAGTTCACATTTTAATGATTAGAAAAGTAAAATATAAACAAGATTAGCAGGAAGATAAAAATTAATTGGAAGAAGCTGAACTCCCGATATGCCTTTAGTTGCAGACTTGGAGCTTGGACCAAGGTAAGTATGTATGTGCCATATCTGTGGGACCAATGAGGAAGTGGAGATCTACCGTAGTAGTCACTGCTACTACAGTAATCTCTACTACTAGATCACTGATACCTTCTGGATCCCAGGCCAAGCAGCTGCCCTCCTGTGTAGTGATCACAGGGGTTCGCTCGTTCAACACAGGTGCCATTCACAGAATGTCTTCCACATTTTTTTTCTATGAATGAAAGACAATCTCTGATTGGACGAGGTGGAGAATGTGACATCATTTACACCAACTCTCTACCTCATCCAATCAAAGAATGCCTTACATGCAAGAAAAATGTAAGGTGTTGTGTGAATAGCGGCCATGCTGAGTGTGTTAGTGTGTTGTGTTAATAAAGGGTTAAATAGAAACAAATCTTATCCAACCACTTGAACTCCAGAATGTTTTACCCCCTTTGTGACCAGACTGTTTTTCTGCTCTTCAGCACTGAGCTACTTTGACTGCCAATTACTCAGTCATGCAACACTGTATGATGAATCTTTCACACAAATAGAGCTTTATTTTGAAGGAATCCGATCACCACAGGGAAGGGGGGGGGGGGTATTAAGGATAATAATAAATAATAATGGGATAGATATTTGAAGATCGGCCGATATAATTTCTTGAGGCCCTAAAATGTCAGGACAGTGCAAATCCCCCCAAAATGTCAGGATGGTACAAATCCCCCCCAAATGTCAGACAGTACAAATCCCCCCAAATCTCAGAAAAGTACAAATCCCGCCAAATGTCAGGACAGTACAAATCCCCCCCCAAATGTCAGGACAGTACAAATCCCCCCAAATGTCAGGACAGTACAAATCCCCCCAAATGTAAGGACAGTACAAATCCCCCCAAATGTCAGGACAGTACAAATCCCCCCAAATCTCAGAAAAGTACAAATCCGCCCCAAATGTCAGGACAGTACAAATCCCCCCAAATGTCAGGACAGTACAAATCCCCCCAAATGTCAGAAAAGTACAAATCCCCCCAGATGTCAGGATGGTACAAATCCCCCCCAAATGTCAGGACAGTACAAATCCCCCCCAAATGTAAGGACATTACTAATCCCCCCAAATGTCAATACAGTACAAATCCCCCCCAAATGTAAGGACTGTACAAATCCCCCCAAATGTCAGGACGGTACAAATACCCCCAAATGTCAGGACAGTACAAATACCCCCCCAAATGTCAGGGCAGTACATATCCCCCCAAATGTCAGGATGGTACAAATCCCCCCCAAATGTCAGGACAGTACAAATCCCCCCCAAATGTAAGGACATTACTAATCCCCCCAAATGTCAGGACAGTACAAATCCCCCCAAATGTAAGGACAGTACAAATCCCCCCAAATGTCAGGACAGTACAAATCCCCCCAAATCTCAGAAAAGTACAAATCCCCCCCAAATATAAGGACAGTACAAATCCCCCCAAATGTCAGGACAGTACAAATCCCCCCAAATGTCAGGACAGTACAAATCCCCCCAAATGTCAGGACAGTACAAATCCCCCCAAATGTCAGAAAAGTACAAATCCCCCCAGATGTCAGGATGGTACAAATCCCCCCCAAATGTCAGGACAGTACAAATCCTCCCCCCCCCCCAAATGTAAGGACATTACTAATCCCCCCAAATGTCAGGACAGTACAAATCCCCCCCAAATGTAAGGACTGTACAAATCCCCCCAAATGTCAGGACGGTACAAATACCCCCCAAATGTCAGGACAGTACAAATCCCCCCCCAAATGTCAGGACAGTACAAATACCCCCCAAATGTCAGGGCAGTACATATCCCCCCAAATGTCAGGATGGTACAAATCCCCCCAAATGTCAGGACAAGACAAATACCCCCCAAAATGTCAGGACAGTAAATATCCCCCCCAAAAGTCAGGACAGTACAAATACCCCCAAATAACCGCGGTATCTTGTAAGCTGG